GGCTCCAGCTTTTCGGACCTGTGGCGTCATGGTCAGCTGTTCACCTCGAGTACAGCCTCGTGCGACGTGTGTCAGCACAGAGGCCGGTGTTACGGTACGACGAGGAACGGAATGAACGGGTCTGGCAGTTTGCGCCAGACAAATAATCTCGGCCGCTTCCCAATTTGGCAGGCACATTGACCTGCCGGTTCAGCGCAATTGCAAAGTCAGGGCCGGATGGCCTGTCCGAGTGGCGAATTGTGCCAGAATGCGATCAATAATTAGCGCCCATCAGTTTGACGGTGAGGCCCAATTTTGGCAGAACTCTTGCATGAAGCAGGTAGTAGAACTGAGTCATACGAAGACAGTTCTTTGCCAAGCCTTGGGCGTCGAATTTCAGGCCATACATCGCGTGCGGATTGATTTGACAATATGGGTTGAGGACAACATGTACCTGGGCCCTGGGTCATATGCATGAGGAGGGTAGATAAAACAGTCGAGGCGTCTGAACTAGTCATATTTCACGATTTTTTCCGAGGTGTGGCGGATCAGATTGTGTGGCAAAATGTTTGAGGATGCATCGCATCGAGCCCTTCGTCTCTCGCTAAGCTTTATCGTTACTTTTATGACAGAGAACTCCGGACAAGGTTAATTGTCCACCTAGAGCACTCTGAAGACATGGCATGGGAACTGTAGAATATTGTGGGACTAGGTACATCCCATACGGCCGCCCTGTCACCTCGGACAAGGTTAAAAAAACAAGTTCAGGCCAGTTATTTAGTATATTTCCAATGAAATGTATTCACACTATTTCGTTTAAAGTGATGAAGGACTGTTGGTTGAATTTTCCCTCAGTGATATGAGTAGAGCTGACGTTTGCATCGGATTTCACATAGCATTTCGTCCCAAAAATGTTATCATCCAGTTTCGACCTCACCTTATCAACATTCTCAGCGGGAGTCGAACCATGACTGCAGCATGTAAGATCGACACGTTAATGACTCGGCTACGAGTGTCCTTGGGTAACAAGGCGGATATGAATTTCAAGAAAGTCCAGACATTTTCCCATATCACATCCTTTGGTGGGATTGTCAATTAAGCAAAGTTATATTTACTATAACAATCGACAAATAAGTGATTTAGTCCATTGTTATTGTAAATATAAATGGATTGGTTAACGTGTTGGGCTTAAATGTTGCACTGTCATTGTTCAACTCTCGCTGGAAGTGTTAATAAGACCTGGGCTAGGTCGGAACTTCAGTCCACTCTGGATGAGAACAACTTTTGGGAAAGCAAGCTATATAAAATTTAATGGGAACGTCAGCTCTACTCACATACTTGTGGGATAATTCAACTACTATCCTTCATCACCTTAATCGAAATCGGTGAATATATCTTATATAACTGATTTAGTGATGATGTATCAACTCTGCTTATAAATGAAGTAGATCTTGTGTTGATATGACTTCGTTTTCTCGCATGGTCGTGGTGACAGCAATCTATGAGAACGTACCCAGTGCTATCTTCCTTGTTAGAATAATGAAAGCCCTCGGCATGTGACTGTTGATTGGTGAGAGGTGCCACTCCTGAGGCCGAGTTCCAATTTATCAGTCTGCGAATGTACCAACCTATTTAATCGG